GGGGGGCGACATCCCTCTTTCAACACAACTTATACATCAATTCAATGAGATCTTTCAACCACCTCAAGGATTTTCACCACCGAGGGAGCAGGAGCATACCATCGCCTTAAGGGAGGAGATGTGATGTAGGCAAGGGAGGGTCAAAACATCTTGGGTTGAGCTTGGGCTTGGCAAGCTTTGGGTGTGCAGTGTGCTAGTTTCTTGGGTTCTTTTGATCTTTGGGCTGCTGGTTGCCTCTCGGGTTGGGCCTTGACTATTTTGGTTTTGAGCTGAATTATTGGGTACTATTTGGTTCTAGCTCATTATTGCTTGAGCTGAGACTCTAGCTCAAGTCTTTTACTGGATAGCTCATTATTGGAGTGAAATTATTGCCTCTTTCCTTTCCCTGTGTCTCTTCGATTTTTCTTCCTGGTGTTGTTCCCGTGGCTGGTTCTCCTCCCTTGCTGGGTGCTGGTTCCGGTCCCCTTTGTGCCCCTTTAGTTTCTGCCCTGGCTGCTTTCCCATGACTGCTTCTACCCGGTTTTCTGTGCTGTCTTTTTGGGAGCTGTTCTAGAATAATTTATGAACAAATTTTTGGAACTGATTTAATAGGTTTAAATGAAGATAATTGGGGTTGCTTGGCTGCCCTCTTCTCCTATAAATATAAGGTGTTTTGCATGAAAAGAGTGTTATAATGGTATTTTTGGATCTAAAATCCTGAGGGTTTTTTCTTTCTTCTTTAGAAAATCTTGCGAGCTTGTTCCATTCCTCTCTTCTCCTAGGAAAGCTTGCGAGCTTATCCTCCCTTTCGTCTAAGGCTTCTTATCTCCTTCTCTCTGCAAGTTTGACACCACTTGTATTCTTCTTCTCAAAGCGATGGATGAAATGCAATTTTAGGTGTTTTATGTTTGTCAAGAGTTGTAAGGTGTTTGTTTTAATGTTATAAGTTTGTAAGAGTCGTCTTTTATCCTATAAAAGTTGTAATTTGTCGTAATTTTGAGTATTTTGTGTAATTTTCTATTACCTAGGAAGTCTTTTATTTTTTCTTGCAAAAATTTGGGGTTTTTCCAAATTTTTGCTTGCATAAATTTGGTATCATAGCGGGTTAGCAAATCCTAGGGTCGTGTTGTCATTTGAGTCTTGGTATCAAGTGAGTTTAAGTTTTGTTGAGTCTTCTTTTCTTTGTTTATAAAAAATGAAAAAAGATAACAATGATCCAGTGGAAGAATGCAATCCAGAAAATATTGAAGTGTCAATTCCAATGGACAGATGGATTCCATCAGAAGGAGATTCAACAGATCCACTACAAAATGAACTATACAAACTACAGATGAAAATACACTTGTGCACAGAGCATTACATGAAAAAGAAACGACTTCTACAAGATCAATTCAAACAAGAAGGAGAAGAAATCCTGAAAAAGTACGAGGCCAAAATTCAAGAGCTAAATGCGCTTCATTCGTCTCCTTGGAATAAATCAAAAACAACCTCATCGGGAGATGAGTTCTTTTAACCGGAGAATTGATGTAGGCAAGGGGGGTTAAAACATCTTGGGTTGAGCTTGGGCTTGGCAAACTTTGGGTGTGCTAGTTGCTTGGGTTTTTTTGGTCTTTGGGCTGATGGTTGACTCTCGGGTTGGGCCTTCGCTACTTTGGTTTTGAGCTGAATTATTGGGAGCTATTTGTTTCTAGCTCATTATTGCTTGAGCTGAGACTTTAGCTCATTATTATGAGAAGTCTTTTACTCTCATTATTGGAGTGGAATTATTGCCTCTTTCCTTTCATTGTGTCTCTTCGGTTTTTCTTCCTAGTGAGGTTCCCGTGGCTGGTTCTCCTCCCTTGCTGGGTGCTAGTTCCGGTCCCCTTTGTGACCCTTTGGTTTCTGCCCTGGCTGCTTTCCCGTGACTGCTTCTACCTTGTTCTCTGTGTTATCCTTTTGGGAGCTGTTCTGGAATAATTTCTGGACATATTTTTGGAACTGATTTAATAGGTTTAAATGAAGATAATTGCGGCTGTTTGGCTGCCCTATTTTCTCCTATAAATATAAGGTGTTTTGTATGAAAAGAGAGTGTTATAATGGAATTTTTTGATCTAAAAACCTAAGGATTTTTTCTTTCTTTGGAAAAGCTTGCGAGCTTGTTCCATTCCTCTCTTTTCCTAGGAAAGCTTGCGAGCTTGTCCTCCCTTTCGTCTAAGGCTTCTTATCTCCTT